TTTCATCTGAAAGATAGTCCCTTCAGCAGCACAGTGCCAAAAACAGTGATCCTTTACCTCACTGCAACATTCCTGTGTCAGAAGCTACATAATTCCTGTCTAATTGGTCATTTTAGAACAGGTAACCCAACTCTCTGGCAAATCACAAGTATCAGCCTTATGCCACATGTCAGATTCCTCACTGGGAATCCTGACCACAGCAACCAGCCAGTTCCACCTCTGTGGCTCCTCAGCTGGCACTGCTCAACTCACAAACAATATGCTTGGGCTGATGTTTGTCAGCTTCTCGATTAGACCATTAATCATTATTTATAATATGGAAAATATTTCTCTCCAGCCTCTGTACTAAGGGGTGGCAGATCAGTTTTGATGTCAGGACAGGGAAGGCATTTGTAAGTGTGCCAGCAAAAGAATATTGTGGAGGAAGTAAAAATACTTATTTATTAATGGTCAGCTACAAAGGAGGAGACTAACTGGCCATTAGGTCTTTGTGTCTACTTTTAGTCTGGGAAACAGCTCTTATCTTTAATAACTGCCTGTTAAATCATGACAAATTGTAGGGTTTAACATTATACCAAGATACGCTTGACTTTATTTTAAATAAAAATTACATTAATCTAAACAAATGCAGGGAGCTGAACCTTAAGTAAGCACATGAAGATCAATGCAAGGATTAAGAGACACTATTTATATCTCTTGGAAGTACTGCTCATGTGTTCACACAGGCCTCTGCCAAGCAGCAAGCCTTCATTGCTTTATGATGCCAGCTACAAAATACCATCCCAGTACAAAACAACTTGTGTCATTCAATTTTTTTGGAACTAAGCTGATACATTCTGGAGAGTGTACTTCCTGTATTTGCAAGTGACTTCTTAAGGCAAGAGGAGTCAGTAAAACCAATAGACCAGATAAAGATGGATTAAAATGTGAATTAAATAATGAATTAAAAGCTTCACATTTGAGACTTCTGTTAATGTGTTAATTTTCTGAGGGAGCAGCTTAGATCACACATAACTGCAATCCTCTAACAGCTGTGAAGCCAATCTATTCTATTTCTCAATTTCTTGTTGGTTGAGGGTACAAGAGGTAATAAGTGATGCTGTATTGTAAATCTCAGACTGCATGGTGCACCAGAGGCAACAAAGTGTAGCTCATATGGTATGCACTGGGGGTCAGGAGGCCACGTACTAATGATCTGCTGAGGATTTGGGGGGATTCACTAGCAGCAGTCACAGCACCAAAGAAGCATTCAAAGGGGAATTGTAGTCATTAGTGTCCAATCCATTAACAAATTGGATATCAGGACCTTAAACACAGAGATGATTTTTGTGCTACAGCCTGTCTATTCACCAACCAATAATCTTAGGAAGAAGAAAAGATGTGTCAGAGTAAAATTAACAGGCATGATAGTGAAAGAGAGTATGTCAATTGTACTATTTGTCTTAAACTGCAAATGGCAAGTGTGACTTCTCAGTAAGAACCTTGTTAATTGTGTGGAAATTGAACTACTAACTAGATGCCCTGGTAGAAATGTAGGAAATGTGGGCTCTGTCCGGAGAACTTCTGTGCCTCAACACATTTAGCAGTTTTAGAATACAGGTGAATCTGTAACAGAGAAAAAAACAACAATTGCTCTTATTGTGGCTTTTTTCTAGTGTTATATTATCACTTTACAAGACATAAGAAAATACTTAATCCCTGCCCTTAGTGTTCCTCAGATTTTCTGTGCATACATGGACTCAGTGCTCCAAAACTGTATCTGCTACCTGCAGACCCCATATCCCAACAGTACAGGCAAATGCAAACCAGAGAGAAGAAAAGAATAATAACCACAAGAAAAATCCCAAAGAAATAATATTGTTATTGTAGTTTTTATTAACTATAGTTATTAAAAATTAGGAAATTGAGCAACTGTAATTCAGTGCTGGAAGCAGCAATATGCATGTCTGTCATTCACAGCAGTGGCATGGATCAGATGCAGGAGATTTTAAGCATCTAATTGAGCATAGAAAGGAAAAGATGTCATCATATGGCTCCAACCAGGAAGCTTAATCAGAAACAAATCTGTGATTTACTCTGAATTATTCTCTTCCCTCCTGAAGCAGAGAAAGGATGCTAACCACTTATGAGAACAATTGCTAATCACTGTAAAAATATGTGCCAGCTCAAAACCTCTGATCATAACAACAAACAGCTCCCTAGAACATACACAAAGCTGAGTTCATGTGGGGAAAAGAAGGAAAGGGAGGAGAATTCAAATCATTTCAGGAACAAATGATTGAAAACAATACCCTTAGTAACCTAAACCCTTCTGATGGCTCTGACAGAACTGGCCCCGTTTCAGGGGCAAGGAAGGCCAGGGCCGCTGGGCAGGCACTCCTGTGCCTCTGGGACATCCCTGGCATCAGAAGTATGTCAGAAATCCCTGCAGTTTGATTACAGCATTCTCTGGTTCTTCTTCAGTACATGCAAACCCCCTTTGTCCTCCCTCTCCCTGCTTTACCTGCTGACAGGTAAAGGAACCTCAAAACTTGGAGAGCACTTCCTTCGTGGATTTCCACAGATAAAAAGGCAGCAGGTCTGCACAGGCTTGCTCAGGCCATTATGCAGACCTTGAAAATTAGCTGCTCAAAACTGTAGACACACCCTGACCTTCTGTTTTGCTGGCTAGAGATTAGGATAACCTTCACAGTTATATAATATAATACTGTTGAACTTTTGTCTGCAGCCCTTTATTTGTAACCATTCTGACACATGAGATCCAAAAAAAAGTTCTTCTTGAACTGCTTATGTTATATACATATTTTTCTCTATACTAACTTCTGCTATATTTCCTGGACAAAACCTGAACACACAGGGGATGGCAATTTAGTGACATTCATGTGTAGCCCTTTTGGGAAAAGCATTGTATATTATTTCTGATCTGGACTGGTAAATACAATCCCATGACATCACATTTAAAAATGGCTATGATCCACCCACTGAGAATGCCAAAGAAAAGCTGGCTGATTTTTTTTTTTATTTTTAAAGGAAGCTAGCACAAAGATTACAAGGTGAAACAAATGTCTGAGAGTCGTGGTCTACACGCAGAAAAACCCAGTTTCAAAAAGAAATATGTTGAAAAGAAGTATGCTTTCTTTCAAAACTGTTTAAATTTGTGCATTTGGCACTTAGCTGAACAGAACTGATGGGCATCCAGGTCACATTTCTCCTTTGTCTTCTTTCCTGTTTTTTGGGTTTTTTTCCCCTTTTTTTTCTTTTTTTCTTTAAAGACTTTTATCTTTATTTCTGTTTCTTTCTCCTCATTTTCTCCCTCAGTTTTCTTTCTCAGCCCATCTCACAGGCCTTCGTGTTTTTTCCTGCCTTGCATAGCTTCGCCTTCTCATGATCCCTTATTATCATTATTGCCTTCTTATCATCCCTGAAGCTGTCCTACATACTTTGCCTGCCCTAGCCGTCCTCCTTTTAGTTCTTTGGTGTACATTTCCCTTTTTCCTTAATCCTTTACAGTTCTTGTTAACTTTCTCTAGTGTGTTACTGGCAGTAGGCTGATTTTTTACAAATGGGGTTCAGTCATGGCTGCTGGCTCTCAACTGACAGATTAACTTGTGAGCATACACGGAAAGGTAAAAGCAAAAAGACAGCAAACACAGAAATGCTCATTATTATCCAGATCACCCTATGGCTGCAAAAAAATGCCCCCAGAAAATTATCCATTTATGTCCATGGTGTCACTTCACTATTTCACATCTCTGTCTCTAAACTATCAAGGGAATGTGGGGCTCTCCTGCTTTCCCTTCTTTGCCCACCTTGGGACAAGAAAAGCGCAAAGATGACACCTTCATTCTTCTAGGTCAGCAACATGATTTTATTTTTAAATATAGCCTCTGTGCAAAGCTAGTTGCTGCGTTCTGGTTGGTACACTATATCTTCCTGTGCCCTTTCCCACTATAGTTTACCCTGCTGGAATTGCTTCCATCTCGCTTAAGGTTCTCTAAAACTTGTTCTGCGAAACAGACCGCATTTGCTTGGTCTCAGTTTTGTCCTAATTATAAACCTGAATGCAGAGCGGTGACATGTTCTATTCCTCTTTTAGCCACACGCTTCCATAAATGCTGACAAGTCAGGAGCTATGACAAACTGCGCTCAGCCCCGCGATGGAAATCGCCGCTGTCCTTACAGCACAGCCCCAGCAGATGGCAAGAGGGTCCGCCTCGCTGCTCGACTGACAGAGGTTTGACAGGACTGGGAAAACACCATCACTTCTTATTCCTTTCCCCTTTCTTTCGTTAAAACCCACCACTATAGCTCACTAAACCCAGCCCCATTTCTCTTGTTAGTTTAAGCGAATTAACCACACTACATCGCCTGGTCCAAGGACGTGACACGGGGTGACTGTCGAGAGAAGTACAAGCCCACACTGCCCCTCTGATGCCTGTCTTGCTTCGGTTTTTCTCCTCAGAAGTTCAAAGCACGAAATGTCGAGACACACAGTACTTGTGTAAGGACTGTAAGGACTGTGTATGTGCCAATCGTTGTTTCAGCATTTTTGCAGTAGCGAAAACGGGAGGACAACTTTTTTACCGCAAGGAAAAGGGCATCATAAAAAAATGAATTTGTGTTTCACGTGCCTGAACACAATCGTCGCAGCATTTACCCGCTCCCACGGCCAACGCGATCAACCCCCGCGGCTCTGGACGCGCGTTCAGGTGGCACCGGCGGCCCCGACGGACCTGTCGGGTGACACGGCCCTGCCGGTGACACATCCCGGGTGACGGATCGCCGGGTGACACAAGCCGGGTGGCACATCCCGGGTGGCACATCCCGGGTGGCACATCCCCTGGGACACATCCCGGGTGACGAATCCCCCGGGCACCCTCTGGGCCGGGCCCCGCGCGGGCCGCGGCGCGTGCGCGGGGCGGGGCCGGGCGGTGACGCGCGGGGGGTGCGCGGACGGAGCGCCCGGCCCGGCCCGGCCCGGCGCGGCCCCGAGGGCGGCGATGGCGGCCGCGGGTGGCGGTCCCGGCGCGCCCGCGGAGACGCCCCCCGCCACCACCACCACCACAGCCGCCGCCGCTGCTGCTGCTGCCACCGAGGCCGGCGCGGTGCTGCAGCGGGAGCCGCTGTACAACTGGCAAGCCACCAAGGGCTCGCTGCGGGAGCGCTTCGCCTTCCTCTTCTCCAACGAGCTGCTCAGCGACGTGCACTTCGTGGTGGGCAAGGGCAGCGCCCGCGGCGGCGGCGGTGGTGGCGGTGGCGGTGGCGGTGGCGGGGCGGCGCCCCCCGGGCCCGGCCAGCAGCGCATCCCCGCCCACCGGTTCGTGCTGGCGGCCGGGAGCGCCGTGTTCGACGCGATGTTCAACGGCGGCATGGCCACCACCTCGGCCGAGATCGAGCTGCCCGACGTGGAGCCCGCCGCCTTCCTGGCGCTGCTCAGGTCAGCGGGGACGGGCGGGCACCGCGGGCGCTCCGGGCCGGCTCTGCCCGGCGGCCCCGCTCGGCCGGCGGTGTCATTTCCTCGCTCCGCGGCCCTTCCCGGATCCTGTTCCCGTCCCTTTCCCGGTGCCCGTCCGTGGGGGGAGATGCTGGGGAGGCGCGGAACCACCTTGTGGGCTGGCACGCAAGGTCACACCGCCCCGCCAACGTGTTTTGGTTCCTTCTTGCTCTTTCCCATTTTCCCCAGAGAAATGCCCTAATTCTGCGGTAGCTGGCTGTCCCTTTAGGGAAACGCTTGGTGTGTGTCTGGTTGGGCTTTTGGGTTCCACATTTTGGTTTTTAAAGGAAAATAGTGAGAATTAGTGGGTTCCCTTGATGTTGCAACTATCCATCCATCTTCTAGTAATAGCTAAGAAGGGACAGAGGCTGCTGTACAATCTTTGAATTTCATTTGATACTTATTTAAAATCTTATTCATCTTATTGTTCACTTTGTCTGTGATGGTAATACATTGTTATATCTTTTTGCCATAGTAACACCCATTGTAATCATACTTATTTCAGTTACTCCTCGGTGGAGAGGGAACATGCAGCAGGAGGCAGTAACTAGCTGATTTTTAGCCACAAACCACCCAAGTATGAGACCGTGAGTGCAGAGATGGCAAAAAGTATGTAAAATGGGTTAGTGATTTCTAATTTGGGCAGAGTAGGATCTGCTATTTCTCATGCTCACAAAGCTGATGTGTTTATCTACCATTTCTATTTACTCAGTGTAGTGGTAAATAAAAGTTATGGTGTTCACAGAGTTACTGATAGTTTCTTTGTGCCTTAGGCTGTGGCATGGTAGTATGACTAAACTGCTTAACCTGAAGGTTTTTATCAAAGAAAACACTCTTCTAGGCAAAACATCTCTCAAACAATACTCTGTAATGAGCATCTGGGAAAAAAGCAGTATTATTGCTTGGAAATAAATATGTAGTGTCTCAAAACTTTCTGTAATGGGAAAAACTCCAAAGTCTTGGCAACTTTCCTTTTGTTTTGAGGCCTACCAGATAAGAACAGTGAGAAGAAAAGTCACAGTCCTTTTGGTGATTGTGAACACAGGAATTGAAGCAACTGATATAAATAAGACCAAACAACCTCCCTTGCAGCAGCAGCAGTGTCTCTCTTGCCAATAGCAAATGAACTGTATTTTGAGGATTTTTAGCAAAGAGTGAGTGATGAGGTGGAGAGTTTGTGCAGAGGAGTGAGAGGCAGTGGGAAGTGTCTTTCAAGCAATTGGTTTCAAAGGTTAAAAGTAAATGACACAAAGCGTCTTGAAAAGCACACATGGCTTTTATATGTATGTAGCAAAAAATGCTGGGCAGTGAAAAATGAATATAATGAGAGTAGTTTATCTGGATATAAATAGAAACACAGAAACAAGAGATCTCTAAGTAAAGATAAGAAGGATGGTATTTGAAAAGTGTAGAAGTGAATGAAGAGATGTTGTTAGAAGCAAACAAAAGCCATCTTGTGTTGGTAGAGCTGCTAGTATGTGATGGCCAGGGGACTTACGTCAGTAAACTGATTATGCTTGTATCTTGTCTAAATATCACCAGGCTGATGAACTGTTGAAATATCTCAGGTTTGGTGTCTGTGACAGCTCTTTAGGATGTTATTCCAAGTTATGTATAGTTTTTGAGCTTATATCAAAATAAATACCTGTTGCAACACCTTTTTAAAAACATACCTAAGGAGAACTGTAATACTCACGAGGACTGGACTTCTTTCATGCTCACAAATACTGTTTCTGAAGTGTGCCAACTATAAAACAACCTGAATTTTTTTCCCTGGTGTTGACTGAAAGAGGCAAGAATGATACCTTGTACTGTTGGCCTGTCGCATCTATCCTTAGTAAATTTGTCAGCTAATGATGGTTACCAATTGTAGGACATTTCTTTAATGTTTGCAAAGACCAATTTGAGGTGTACTGGCTAGAAATTGTCAGGATCTTTGAATACATGTAGCAAATGAACAGCAGGTAAAAGAAGCGTTTAAATAACTCAAAACTTTTTAGGGATACTTTACTAATTATTTAATGTTCCACAGCTCATTTCTATTTGATTTACTCAAGTAGTTTGTTAGGTCTTGTCTGTAGCTGAGGTGTTTCATAAAGATCTACTGACAAATGCTACTTGTAAATTAAAGGAAAGTATTTTTTGATTGAAAAACTTCAGTAGTTTGACAGCTAAATCCTTAAGAACTGAAATAGTGTCAAAGTCATAAAGTTTGAATCTGTTTCCCAGTGAAACACTTTTTTTTTTATGTTTCTAACTACAAATTTAATAGCAATGATCAAGAAAATTAAAGTTGTGTCAGTAGGATTCTGCTTTAGGGTTTCATTTTGTTGTTTTTAGTAAGATTATTTTTACATTTCATTCACATTTTACAGTACGTTAACTTGTCCTTTGATCACAGTATAAAGGAAAGTGACGACATTGCACAAATTAGCAGTCTGTCTTCTAAACGACTGTAGAGGACTTTGGCAATCAGTAAATAGAGGGGTAATCATGACTAACTGGAAAAGAAGATTCCTGTGTGCTTTTATAATGGTGAAAACATTCTAGCTGTTGGGAGTATGCTTAGACTAGGGGAGAAGGAAGTGCTAACCTGAGAGTAAAGAAAAGTAGCCTAAAAGGTATGAGAGACTGTGAAGGGAATGATTGGGTTGTCATTTGAAAAAATTGTTTGTTCTCGTTGCTGATCACTAAAAACATTCTTTCACCCTGCACATACAAACCCCCACCTCCCCATCCTTCCATCCTGGATGACAATAAGATTAGTATCTAAAGAGCAGGTTGTTTCTGTGAGTCTCTGGAAGGGAAGGAGAGGAGGGAAGAAGGCAAGGGGGAAGGATAAGTAATCTTGGGTCCCACCGAGTCAAGTGGAGGAGGAACAGTGGTATAAACACAAAGGTGTGCTAGTCCAGGCGTGCCACAAATGGGAGAGTTAGCACAGAGACAGAGCTCTGGCACACATGAGCAGAGGGATTTTTAGGGAGAAGACACACCTAGAACTGCACCCTGATTCTTTACAAGGTATAGCAGAAAGTGAAACACAAGCCAGAAAAGCTCCTCTGATGTGTCACTTTATTGGCTTCAGATTGTACTCACTTAAGAAATAAAATCAAAATCATGTTCCCAAACCAAACTGGGATTTTTTTTAATTAGGTAAAAGTTATACTGTAGGTTGCATGGCAGTATTGGTTTGTTGTTTTGTTTGGTGTTTGTTTGTTTTTACAGCCTGTTAATATTCAACTCTTACGTGCTTTGGACCCAAGCTCCTATGAAGTCAGGCAAGGAAGCTTAGGACATTTTAAACTGATTTTTTAAAATTTTAAATCCAAAATCTAAATGCACTGTTCTAGTGCTTTAATGCACAACTTGTCAATTTGGTGTGCAAAACTGTACCTATGAGATCTCAGTTTCTTGGAAGTAAATTTGTCAGCAATTAAGACTAGCAAGTCAGCCCATTATTTTCATCAACACATAATAAATAGTTCATAACTTTCATAATTCGATTGTAAAGGAACTGTATGAAACTTTTGCTTAAAAAAACCCCTTAGCATTAAAGTAAATTCATTTTTCCTACAAACTGTTTGATGTAAATCCAGTTTAAAAAATTAGTCTAGAGCATCATTCACAACTCCAAAGTGATGTGCAGGCTGGTTGTTTGAGTAGATTGGAGTACTGTAATGGTAAATATGTACCTGTATTGTAGCAGCAAATTTAATGTTGAATACCATATTGAGTTGTGTGTTAGCAGCTACCAAGAATTAGATTTTTCCTGCAATATGAAAAATATAAACAGTGAAGAACTTCAGTTTAAACTTTAATTCTAGGTTGCAATTATCTGGATCTCTCAATATTGCAAGCAAGTTTAACAAGTCTGTTATTTTCACAAGTTTCTGTTGTTGAATATAAACTGCTTATTGTTACATTTAAAACCCTTCTTAACACACCTTCTGTCCCTGTGTGCCTTTCATTTCTGAGAGGTTCTGAACAATTATTACTAAGAAATACAAAGGAAAGGCTTGGTCTTCATTCAGGAATTCCTGCATTTGCTTATAAGCCCTGCTTTATTATGTTTAATTACCTGTGTGTTGGGGATGAATGTATTTTTGTAAAAATCACAGACTACTCTTGATTGTTATCTGAAAAGCTGATGAAATACTGCTAAAATTATCATTAAATGTCACCTGTAGGAAAAGTTATTTTTAAAAAATCGTATTTTCCATACAGAACCTTAAAATAAATCTTATCTTATCTAGTCTCAAGTAACAACTGCTCAGGAAACAGCATTTTTTTCCTGGTATCGGTGGAGACTTTTATCTTTTGGTTGACAGCTTATGCTAAATCATAACCTATCCTCTAGCCTCAAGCAGTGGAGACAAGCCAGAGAGTTTTGCCGTGGCAGGAATAGAAGAGTCAAGGTCATCTGCTCTGCTCTCCTCTGAACATGACAGAGTGGTAACTTCAACATCAGATGTTCTCACAGTATAAGCCCTTGACACTATTCCCCTCATGGAGGGGAAGCCAATGTGTACTGTCAGTAAATTAGGTTCAGTAATACAGCCATAGAGGGTTGTGCAGTGATATTTAGAAATATAGCTCTTGCTGATGAATCCAGAGAGCTGTGTTCGTGTGTTAAGTAACTCTGCAGCTCAGCTGTTGTTTACAGTTGGGTAGCTATGTATAACTAGTACAGCCAGATCAGTCTTAGGGAGTAATATGTATTTAAAACAAATGTATGCCATTAGGTTAACGTAATATTCTTCCTTCAGCCCTTTAACTTCTCCTTTTTATTCGTAAAAATGCTACATGGCCAAGTTTTGTATGTTCACAGTACAAATCTTTGGCCTCTTTTGTAAATGCAAAGAGACTGTTGTGTTTGACGGCCCCTCTCAAGATACATTTTTATGATCTGTATTTATGTATTGATTTACAGGTTTCTTTATTCAGATGAAGTTCAAATTGGTCCAGAAACAGTCATGACTACTTTATACACTGCTAAAAAGTATGCTGTCCCAGCGCTGGAAGCACATTGTGTGGATTTTCTAACAAAGCATCTCCGAGCAGATAATGCCTTTATGCTGCTTACTCAAGTAGGTAAATTTAAGCTTAGTTTTGAATTACTAGGAAAATCAGTCTGTGGAGGGAAATGACTAATTCTCATTAAGTATGTACTCCTTTGAGAATTTAAGTGCTCTGTAAGGTATAAACACAAAGAGTACTTAAGACAAATCCAGCTGTTTTAATTTAGGTCTATACTAGAGTAAAAATAATTATTTTTGAGATTAGCGCTTTGCCAACTTTGTGCTTAAGATGTATTTCTTTACCTTTTTAGGCTCGTTTGTTTGATGAACCTCAGCTTGCTAGTCTGTGTCTTGACACAATAGACAAAAGTACAATGGATGCCATAAGTGCAGAAGGCTTTACTGACATCGATATAGGTAAGCGTGTCCTAAGCGTGAAATCTCAGTACCCCAGTTCCCTCCCCCATCTGAGTATGCAGAGTCCCAAGCACTTCTTCCCTTCTTGGCTATCCCCCCTCTGCAGTGCTTTCCTTTGAGCTTCACTCCTGAGCAGGGTTCCACTGCCTTGGGTATCCATTTGATTAGTGTTGGTGTCTCAGGGCTCCCGCTGTGGTAACATCACGCTTCTCATTACAGACAAAGCTTTCGCTTGCTGAGTGTTGTGCCTCATCCCTGAGGGATCCACAACTGCAGTTACTTCTCAGAGTTGTATAGATTAGGTACAATTAATGAAATCTGCTTTGAAAAATAAATACATAAACTGCTGATTTCTATGTTAATATTCTATGAAAAGCTAGCAGTTGTTAAATTTGCTTACTTAATTTCATTGCTACTATATGTATCTTAAGATTTGACTCCAACTCAGCTACATTGTGGGAAAAATTCAGACTGAAGGAAGGTGTTCCAGCTGTTTAAAGAGATTGTAAAATCATTATTAACTCACGTTCAGTAAGATTTGTACCTAGACTGTGAGTGTTCCTCTCTACTTTTGGTAATTCTCAAATGTGTTTTGAATTTCCAGCATAATATTTTCTATGACCGCAAACATGCCCTGCTTAAATTAAGGCAGACAAAAATTCCCGAAGAGAGAATATGAAAACACTTTTTCTTCTGGACTTGTGTTCCGTGATAACTTGTGCATACATGTTATTCATAAAAGGCCAGAATGAGTAATAAATACAGGAGAAATTACTTCTGTAAAACACGGGGGGAATGAAGAAGATAGTTCATTTGCTGTCTTCATAGCAGGAAAATTAATTTTTAGTTTGAAGTTTATGTGTGATTGAGAGATTTCTTTCTACATAAGATAAATGATGAATAATATATATACATTATAATTATAATAATATATTAACTATCTTTATCTTATTGTGAATGTTCTTAATGTGTATTTTGTATTTTAAGGTTACGTAATCTGTAGCACTTTATGGCTACACTTTGGTTTGGATGAAAACTGATCTAAATCTGCTAACTTTTTATTTCTTTAGACACATTATGTGCAGTTCTAGAAAGGGATACCCTTAGTATTCGAGAAAGTCGGCTCTTTGTAGCTGTTGTTCGCTGGGCAGAAGCAGAATGTCAAAGACAGCAATTGCCTCCGACGTTCGGGAACAAACAAAAAGTCCTCGGAAGAGCTCTTTCCTTAATCCGTTTTCCATTAATGACTATTGAAGAGTTTGCAGCAGGTGAGTTTTGGAGTTCTTTGTCTTACTGTTAGACCACATCTCTGTGCTGTTCACCTGTGTTTAGATGCTTAACACTTGATTCTGTTATTAATATTATACTAACAAGAGTTGTGATGCACAAATGAAAGCAAAACATTTTGCAGATTACACTCTGGCCATTGGAAAATATTGTTGTCTTCAGTTTGTGAATATGTGTGGTTTAAATACAACAGTTGGAGTAATCCTTCAAATCATCTTAAAATTCTTTTCTTATTTCCACAGGCCCTGCACAATCTGGAATCTTGTCAGATCGGGAAGTAGTAAATCTCTTTCTTCATTTTACTGTCAATCCTAAACCTAAAGTAGATTATATTGACCGACCAAGATGTTGCCTTAGAGGAAAAGAGTGCAGCATTAACAGGTTCCAGCAAGTGGAGAGTCGCTGGGGCTACAGTGGAACAAGTGATCGGATTAGGTATGACTTTTGAGACTATTTGAAGGAGAGACAGAGGTGTGTAGGAAGAAAGGGAGCAAATCCCTCAACTTTGACTTAAATTCCTTTCTTGGCTTGTGTCTTACTAGGTTCACAGTTAACAGAAGAATTTCCATAGTGGGATTTGGATTATATGGATCTATTCATGGTCCCACAGACTATCAAGTTAATATACAGGTACAGTATATAATGTTCAAATAGGCTTATGCAGGAGCTACACTTCCTAAAAGTTTGGTCCATATTTGGATGGGAGCAATTGATAGGCCAGGAATCTAAGCTGTGTTTTGTCCTTAACAGTGGGCATAAGTGGATGACTAGGCAACAATAAGAACAGTATGAAACTCTTCTCCCTTTTACTATATTCTCCTGTCCTTCAATCATCCTCAGTACTGGTGTTTCCCAACACCCAGCTTTTCCCCCATTTTCTCAAGCCTTTCCAAATTGGAGATACAGGTACTGATACTGTACTTGGGCATGTGATGTCCTTCAGTAGTCTGTGTGCTTCATATAATGATTTGGTTTTCCTAATTGCTCCTTTTTAGTTTCTTTTGATCAGGCTTCCTCATTTTTTTCTTTTCGAAATTTAGCACAGCTGTGGAGGATTTGCTTTTGTTGTTCACATGGGAGTGTTGACTGAGTATATTATGAACACTGTTACATAGTGTTTCCATTATGAAATTTTGAATTTGATCCTGCTCATCACTCAGTACCAAATCAAGGGTTGTGTTTCTTCCTACTGAGCAATTGGTTAGCAAGCTCAGGGAAAGGCCAGTGATAGCATCTAAAAATGTCACCCTTGCTTTGTCCTGGTGTGACCCTTGCCTGCTCTGAGTGGGTAACTGAAGACACCACTAAATCTGTATTTCCTTCTCTTGTAGCCTGTTTGATATCTTTTAGCACATTGTGGTCAGGATTGTCTTCTAGCAGTGTTGATAAGACACTGTATTTTCCTTTTTAAATGTGGAATTTCAGTCCATGTGAATTCTTTTTCTTACTGAGATTGGTTTTGGTTCTAAGCTTTCTAACAAGGTATTAGCATTCCATGACTGGCACAGTTTTACCCTGTGGTGTGTATTTCATAACCTACTACTATCATGTCACATTGATTTATTAGGTGCATGGGAAATTTTGTGAAAGAAATAGTCTGTGACTTCATTTAGAGGCAGAAATTCTGTTGTCCCTACCTTATTTCATAGACTTCTAGCATGTTCTGGAACTCCACGGAACTGCTGTTTCAGGTTGTTTCTGAGCATACTGTTTAAATGACAGTTTGTCTTCTGTTTCCTATTTGATGATTATTATTATTATCTGACTGTTTTGTACTTAAGGATATGGATTTTGTGTCTGTCTCTTAAGAAGAAAAATGTTGTGTCTTTCCTCTTGTGATGTTTCAAACAGAGTGTTTCTGGAATGAGGTTTTGAAGAAATTTGGTTTTTCCACATTCCTCAATTTAAAAGCTCACTTGCAAATTTCTTGAAGTACCATCAGTTTGGTTTTCTTAAACCATACATCTGTGTAAAGGAGTAGAATCCATGTAAATGGGTTGGATCTTTGGAACAAAAGAGTTGGTCCTGAGAATCTATCAGCTATACTACGTATATTTGGGGATTTTTACTTCACGTTATCTCTTTTTATTTAACCTCTCTGCTGAATTCCTGTTAGCAGATGCAAGTGTTTAGTGTGTTCCCTCAGGATGTTTACTGGATTTTTTTAATCTGAAAAGGATTTAGGTTTTTTTCAAGGCAAACCAATGCATATTTGGTGGGAATGATCAGAAGATTCACTTGAAAAAGATCCTCTGATCCAAAGTGAAAGGCTAGATACACCCTTATGGTTCATCCATCTTATACAGATTCACTGTATCCTGCAATGAATCTGAAACTTCCTTGTCCCAATCTTTTCAGACATGTATTTAAGTTCTGTGCCTCTACCATTCTTCTTGGATCTGCATCAGTACTAGCAAAGCTTTAGAGAGTTAAACATTTAGAGCTTGTCTTAAACTAGTGATAATGTACATTGCAAATAAGGGCTTAGGACTTCAGCATTATAATTGTTAATATTCCTATTCATTGTGGCTATTGATAGAGCATATTTTGCCGAGAATAGAGCTTTGTCTCACTCATGTAAAACTAAAAATTATATGGCAATTTAATAATAAAATATTAAAATCATTAGGATTTTTCTTAGTGCAGTAACCATGAGAAGTGTACTACTCTAAAGCTCTGATAATCCAACTTCTGCAAGAGGGGTTGGGTATCATGGACCAGTCAGCAATCCAAAATAAAAAAGTTAAGTATCTGCTATTACTACATTGTATCTGGTCATTCCTATTCGCCACTAAAATTGAAGGCACAATAAATATTATGTAGTCTAATTTTTATGCTGAATCTAGATTAGAAATAAATTGTATAAAGCACAGCAGGACAACTTCTTGTTTTCTTTTATGAATGTATCATTGACTGCTTACATTATCCGTAAAAACTTTGCTAAATCAGCCACAGCCAGCGAATGTGCTTCCCTCACGTGGGCTGTGTAGGTGTGCAAAGATCAGCAATTAGACTGGGTGGAGTAGGCAAGTGTTTGCTTGTCATCTTCTCATATGCATACAATGAGAATCTTCCTCATGCTTGTAACCCTAAGAATACTTTTCTTGTGTTTTTGCACAGATAATTGATTATGAGAAGAATCAGACGCTAGGACAGAACGATACTGGGTTTAGCTGTGATGGAACAGCCAGCACCTTCAGAGTTATGTTCAAAGAGCCCATCGAGATTCTGCCCACGGTTTGCTACACAGCTTGTGCAACCTTAAAAGTAAGAATGTCTAGCAGTAGAGAAGAAAGTGTTACTTTGATGCAAGAGTTGTTCTTTTATCGTTCTTCTGATGGGAAAGTGTCTTCTAGATCTTGATTCTAGTTTAGGGCTAAAGAAGGATGTAGTTAAACTCCACAGTAACTTGTAAGACTGCCGTATCTCTTCTGTGCCACAGCATGGAATTCGCAAGTGGATCCTTTTTGCCTTCTCACTCTGTGGCATGATGTAGGTGTTAGAGTGAGTCCTAATGCAAGTTACTGGTTCTGTGTGGGAAAAAGCACTATCTAGAATAGTTAATCTGGCAGCTGTCTATCAAAATTGAAGTTTGATTTACTGATTGAAGTTTGATTCTTGACTGCACTAGCTGGAGTCAAGGAAACAGAAAGATTCTTTTTCATCGCTTTTTATATACTAGTGCTGAAACAAAGAATTACTTGTTCTGAGAAAGTCTCTCAATATTGTGGACAAATGTATTTCTCAAAATTTTTTTAATATTCTTCTAAATATAATTCTCTGTTACAGAAATCAAAGTTGGGTTGGGAAAAATACTGCACGTTAAAAGAAGCTGAGGCAGGGAACTGAGTGAGAATATAGACAACTTGTGTGATAAGGAGAAATACTAGAAAGTTTTCATTACTAGTTGAATAAAATCTACTGGTTTAAGTTTGCTGTCAGAGAAATGATTTTTTGCTAGTTAGACATACAGCACTTGCTTTTGTTGTCTGTGATTTTGTGTATAATTTATATGATGTGGGTACAGAAATAAAATAACCTAACTCAGCACTGTTTGAACCGTAGCAATTTATGGGTCTTGCCTACTTCCACTCAGTTGCTAATCTCTTGTGATATTTTTCAGGGTCCTGATTCCCACTATGGAACAAAAGGTTTGAAGAAAGTGATCCACGAATCTCCTACTGCTAGCAAAACGTGCTTTGTCTTTTATAGTTCACCAGGTAACAACAACGGTACATCAATAGAAGATGGACAGATACCAGAAATAATATTTTATACTTAGTTTCACATGATGATCTGGAATGTGTCAGTGTCTCAGTGGACTTCAGCTCACTATCAGCAGCAGTTTAAAAATTCTCTGAAATTACATCAGTGTGTGAAAACAAATCTATCTTGTTTGAGAGGTACCAGAAGAACTAATTTTTTTTCCTACATCGTTATCAGCAAAACGTAATTTAGCTTTTCCTCTTAACAAAATGTCAAGTGGAGAAAGTACTCTGTATATTGAAAAGTTTGTTTTGTTTTAAACAGTATCATGTGATTAATTGCTTTGTGTTTTCACCCCTTCGTTTCTCTTGTAGTAAAATTCATTTTTTAAACTGGAAAAATCCTTACTTGCTATGAACAACTTGCGTATGTGTTCCCCAATCTGTCCTAAAAAGACCATAAAGCTGCTGCTGTAGTCCCACCCTGCACTTCTTTCCAAAATGACCCTATGGACATGGATGGCTGCTGTATTTTTTTGAAGTACATCAGCAAAGCTGGATTTATATTGTCATCACCTTGACTTTTTGGACAAGCCATTGAGAATTAATGGACATTATCACTGCAGAGAGCAGCTGCAGCTGCACTGAAGAAACACTAAGTCAGCTTCAGCAACAAACACATCTTTCCAGAAACTCTCTTAATTCAGAAGGGCTGTTTTGGAATATAGAACTGGTTATGGAAATAGCCACTGTATATACATATGTGCCTATAAAAAATGTATAATGTGAAAATGAGAATACAAGACTTGTAATGATGTTATTTTATCACTGGATATTCTAGCACTAAAAAAAAAAAAAAAAATTAGTATAAACCTAAGGATTACTTGTGTGCAACTAGTTTTACAGACTGCACATAATACTTTGATGCCATTGCTGTATGTATATAGTACTCAGTGTCTTGCAGTATGTACTGTGTAGTAATAGAATGTCTTCATATACAAAGTCCTGTACCCTTCCCCAGATTATACTAAAGTAGTAATTTGAGAATGCAGGAGAATAAGAAAACTTCCTTTTTTTTTTTTTCCCCCCCCTCTATGTAAATGGGGAAGATCACGCAGGTTTTGCGTCTCAAAAGGGCCGCGTGTAGAACAACGTCGAAGGGCTGTTCCCTGGAAGCGCTGCGGTACCGGCAGCCGGGGCTGGGCTGGGAGGAGCCAGGCACACGGGTCCCCGTGGATCACACGGGTCCCTGTCGATCACACGGGTCCCTGTGGATCACACGGGTCCCTTTATATCACACCGACGCCGGGCACTCGGGTCCCGCCCAGCCGGATCGGCCGTGCCGGATCGCGCAGGCTCCGCGGGGCGGGCCCGGCCGGTGCTGCCGGAAGGGCTATGCCGGCCCTCGCCGGGTTCCGCCGGGTGTTGGCGGCGCCGCTGCGGAGCCGCGGGGCAATGCCCGGGAAGGTGCGGGCGGGGAGGGGCAGGGAAAGGAGAAGGGGAAGGGGCAGGGGCGGGTGGTGACCGCGCCTGTTCCTCTGTTTCAGAGCAAAGGAGCCGCCAAGGGCCCCGCGGGCGCGGGCGGCGCGGCGGGACCGGTGGTGGCGGCGGGCGATGGCTCCGTGAGGGTGGCGGTGCGCGCCAAGCCCGGCGCCCGCTGCAGCGCCGTCACAGGTGGGTCTGGGCCCCCCGGCCGAGCGTCCCGGGGGTTCTCCGCCTTCCCATGAGATGGGCTTGGGGACGAACGCGCAGAAACCCAGCGGGACGTTCCGCGCTCCGGGAGGTGTAGCTCGTTCGCGGCCCCCCGTGGGCAGCGCTGGGTGGCGCGGTGAGCGCGGGGTAAATTCTGTTGTTGTTGTGGTGGGTTGGTTTGACTGGCAGGGGCTGTACCGGTGTCCGGGCTCGGGTGGCAACACAGGGAAGTTACTGATAGCACGGCTCTCTGAGCAGACTGATTAATACGCGTGTTTTGGTGGAGTAACCTGCTTTGTCTTGTGTTACGTGATACCCAGCAGGACAACACCTGCATCTGCACCTGGAGCTCAGAACGGTGCCCCCATTGAGAGAAAGCTTAATACTTACGGCTGCACTGAAGGACTGACTGCTTTTAGTGTCAGAAGTTTACCTTTGATTGTTATGGCCAACAGTTTAAAGGAATTTATGAAGTGTGAAAATGTCATTACCTGCTAATCTACACGTTTATTTGGTTTTGAATTAAAATGCGTTGGAAAACATAAACACTCATTTTTAGGAAACAAAACGTGTTTTGAGTATTTCATGCCTAAAATGCTTAAAATATTTGTTGTAGATGTGACAGCTGAGGCAGTAGGTGTAGCTATTGCTGCACCCCCGTCGGAAGGGGAGGCAAATGCAGAGCTGTGTCGCTACCTCTCTAAGGTGCTAGAAGTAAAGAAGAGTGACGTTGTTTTGGAGAAGGTACTTCCTTTTCTTCGTTTCAATTTTTCCTACTGCAGTTGAAATTCAAGATTCTGAAACTTACACATTTAGGTACAGGGAGCTGCTCTCCAAGTTCAGTCTGAAAGACACTTTAAAAAGGTTTTTAGTTGACTTAATGGAATGATTCATTGAGAACAAACCTAGTGTAGGAAGAATTGTTTCTGTGTTCTTCAAAGATTCTCTTGTTTTCGTGTTAAATGCAGTTCATGAAATTTCTGCTTTGCAGAGAATGTGAATTTTATTAACTTCTCACTCCTTTTTAAAAAATAACTTCTGTGGAAGTTATTTGAGTTAAAATTTTCATTTAACTGTCAGCAAGAACATATATAAGCACTTGGGCTATAGCTGGGCCACAAAAGTTTGTCTGTTTAGAATTTACATGTCTTGACTTTGTCAAATGGAAACTCTGTTTTATTCATTGCACTGAATAAAAAATGTTTTTTATTAGTTCATTGTACTTAAAATCAGACTTTCCAGGGTGATTCTCTGAAAGATGTTTTTTTGTGTGTTTGTCTAAACCAGGGTGGTAAATCACGTGACAAAGTGGTAAAGATTTCGGTATCACTGACACCAGATGAGATTTTAGAAAAACTGAAAAAAGAAGCTTCCAGCTGACCTAAAACAAGAGCAGGAAACGGGACAATGTTTCTTGGTAAATGGACTGATACTCTTTCTTACATAATGTAGAGCTGTTGAGAATGTGGGTAATGACTACAGAAAGATACTTCTTCCCCCCTTCCTCCTTTGTACATATAGCTGCTGTATACTTGAAGTTTTTGTGTAGGTTTGATTAGAAAAACTTGTCTTTACTGAGTCTCGGTATCCACTTCTGTCACTACAGACTTTCTTCTGCTCTGGAGAACTTCTGTTGGTAAGACTTGTCCTCTTTCCTGGTCCCTAAGCAAAAGGTTTAGAAATCTTGTTTCTTAGTGAAACAAACTTTGGTTAACAAAGTGAAAGGCTTGAAGTGACAGGCTTCCATGTGAAAAGTGGTCCAAAAGGATGTCTGGATGGTAAAGACTTTAGAAGAACGTCCTGTTTGGTATCTCGTGGCAGGTACTGTGTGCAGCTTTGCACTGTGGACACTTGTGGGCATCTAAAATAAAAGTATTTGAAGCCAATGGGCTAATGTTGATCACACAGGCAAACTAAAAGCAGAATCACCTGAACAACTGAAACAAACCCAGAAGTTTTCAGTATGAAAAACCAATGCAGAACCCAGTAATGGCACACCTGGTGTCACTTTGCAATGATCTGTAATTAGTTCTCTTAAAAGTAGAGATACAATCATATATGTATATTTGCCAATTGTATGTCAAGTATAATGCCTTTTTAATAAATGGGGGAAAAATGTTATTAAATTTTATTTTGTGTTTGTATTTTTAACAAAAAAAAAAAGTTTCCTGGAAGTCACTTCTGTTACTCTTAAATGTGGCTTTTTTAGAATCTTTCCTTGGTTTAAAAACAAGTAGTATTCCAACACCTAGAGGTGTGAATGGAGTCATCTGTAGAGTGGAACAAGAAGCCTGAAACAAAATGGGCTTCAGTCTCAGGGCTCGTGAGAAGAACCATTCTTAAGGTTTGCTTAAGGTCTGTCATACCTTCTCCTGGAAAACAATGCTGTCAAGGCACAAGTTACAACAAAATTTCCTTACCAGCTGCGTTCAGTGCAGACTTCATCGCTCATAATTTAGCTTTTCACAGACTAAAGTCTTTTGCTTTAGGAAATTCTTTCTGCTTCCTGTTATCCTAAATATTGCAACAGTTGTGTTTGGAGTTAGAGATCTGGTAGTTGTCAAGATAACAGCTCCTTCAAGGTGACTTATTTTAGAGATGTAATGAAAAATGTTACTTTCTTGTTTGGAGAACTAAGTCTAAATTCTGAATGCTGTTTGGTTAATGTTTTCCACCTGGGCCCCTTATTTTCTCAGGCATTTGGGTAGCCATACATTGCCTCAGTTGTCCTTCCTTACTCATCTTTTCAATCTGCTGGTTTCATTTTGCTGTTCCATCAGTTTTGGTTCACAGCGTTTTGCTGTTACACCAGCTCTTGTCCAGCAGAGGGGAGCCGTGTCTTGCAGAAAAATTAAGGCAAAGCAAACCAAAACAAAGTGTTCCTGGTTTGTTGCTGTTGTTTTTTTTTTCTAATTTCCTAAACTTAGAGAACACAAAAAAAAAGGCTAAGGAATTCTGTGTTTATTATATTTGGAGTTGGATGCTACAACAGCCATTACAAAGATTTCTTTGGAAGTTAATATGATGTGTTACATTATATGTATTATATACTCTATTGAAATAATGTATTACACTTGCCCCTGGCTTTAGACACAGAGGGAGGAGCTGGGTGGGCAGGTGCAGTCTCTGAAGTACAATGGTCTTCAATTATAATTATCTACAGAAGCCAGTTTATTCTTTCAGTTCCCTGTCTGTCTTGTCAACACGTTCTGCCTAGGCTTTGCTAACACCTTCAGCTGGAATTCTGCATCTGTTTTTCCTAATCAGTGAAAGCTTGAAAAGTAGCAGTGTGACAAATAAAGCCTTTATATGCTGGGAACAAATAATTTTTTTTAAATAAGAGTAACCAAAAGTATTTTAGAATGGTAGTATAAATCACACTGGGGTGTTGCCATATATGCTATCTGAGAGCCTCTTCTATCAATGTGTTTCATGCAGTCTTCCAGTTATATCCCTAATATCTTAACTGTGGATATATGTATCCTGTTGAAATGCCTGGGAGGCAGGAACTGCTGATCCAATGTATGTCAGCAGTGAGGTAGAGTTAAGAAACTTGTGGGACCAAACAGGTCGATGCCAAATCTGTGATTTAGGCCTAGCTCCTTCAAATCTTGCATTGAAATCCTAACCTGTCAACTATCTCTTCGTGAACACAGTAAAATGTCTTTCATTCTGTTGAGAAAATGGTGGTAGCAAATATCCTTTACTCCAGCAGAGTATGTTTTTAATAGACCAGAGCTTTGTGATATTGTAAGAAGCTTTGTCCAGGAATTTCAAAACACTTTTCAAATCCTATCTCAAAATAAACTGTTATTCCTAGACCAATTTAAAAACATTTTGGTGCCAGTTGCTATCCTCCTTTTACTTCTTGGCCCCTGCTTTATCCATGTGCAATAAACTACAGGATTACTCAACTACTTGAAATTCTACTATTGACTCAAGCACTGTCCTCTTTCCCTAATGCATGGTCTGACCAATTTCAGTAAAATCTGTCTAATGGTGATTTAATATCTTCTGCTTGCAGACCTGGGCAGTCAGTGGATTTTCTAAAATATAATTAAGTTGTTTAACATTAGCAAAATAGAAGTCATCTGAATAAATTGTGTACCAGTCTTATGGCAGAAGGTTCTTAGTCTTTCATCCACTCAGTTCCATTTATTTTCTAAAATCCAGCTTTGAAAGTATATGGCAGTCCTTTAATATGCTAATTAAGGCTATTTAATTATACCCTCTGAAACTGGCCTCTTTGCTCTTTTACTTACAATCCATTCCGTTTATCATCTGCAGTGCATTCCCATCTCTCCTTTTAGTCCCAAGTGTTTCTAAATCCCCGTTTCTTCGGGTATCATCTGTCTAAATAATCCTGGATAATTGACAACTTTGTCAATAACTGGCAGCAGCAATTTAGCAGAAAGCACAATTTTAATATCTTCCTTCTTTCAGCTTCCAGGAAGATAGATACACCTGATGTTCCTGCTCAGTACTTCACATCTCACTCTGTTTCCTCTCTCAGTGTGTTTATTTGCATGTGTGAAACTTGAACCAGCTGAGTTTAATTTTTTTTTTTTCTTCAACCTACTGCATTCTTCTCATAATGTTTTTAGTCTTTATCTTGGAAGGATGATTCATTGCCATATTGACTGTTATAAAAATAAGCTCCCCTGTCTCCTGTGGGGAACACAGTGCTTTGCCCTCATGTAAAACCTGTCCTGGTTATTATTTTCTAGGAAGGGGCTGCACTTGGGGCAAGGTGCTGTTAATATAACTGAGGCACAGTAAACAGTCAAACAGCTGCTGAAGAAATTAAATACTTGCCTGAAAGGAGGAGTGTGATACTTGCTGAGGTACTGGGAATTCATTTCTTTCTGGTCCTTATATATTAGCTTTTCAAGTAATTGTTACTGAGCCAGAAGAATTTACTTTCATTTATAAAGGCAGCATTTATTTGGCCTTGCATTGTTTCAAGTGCTGGGGAAGTTGGAGTGATGAAGTAGTCCACCACACCATCTTACTACAGCCTGAGGGTAAGTTTTTGAAATGTTTAAATAATATTTTGAGTTTTCAAATCTGAAGCATGGCAGGTGGAAAGGGAAATGTATTGAGTATCAATTTAGCAGTTGGTCACTACAGAAAGGTGCTGTAAAGAGAGCAGTTAACCATAGACCCAAGAGGAAAAAAAAAGGAACAACAGAGGGGTCAAAACCTCATTTCATGCTACTCAGATAAAGCAGTTGTCTGCCTTAAGATAATAACTGGAGTTACAAACTGTAACTCTGGGGTGATTGTCAGTAAGTTGCCTTTTTTCTAACACCTAGTAGGTGTGCAGTGCACATGGGAGGGGCTGCAGCATGCTGTTCCTTTGGCCAGGTTTTGTTGCTGTAGTGCTTTGCAAACCAGGATGCATTGAGGTATAATTTATAACAAATTTCAGAGCTCCAAGTGCATTTTAGGACATACTTGGTGCCCAGCTGTCTGTCATGGGCATTGCTACTTTGAATTTTATAAAACACGCTATTTCTATGGAACCATTTTTGGTTTTTACCAGTACTACTTCCCATAGCTTGTCTTAAAAAAAATCTACAAAGTTTTTTGCTTCTCTTCTGTTGTTCAGGTCTGTGGGCTTACATTTTGTAGTGATATGACCACACATGCTCAGCCACCTTCCTGCCACATCTGGGTCCTGGGTTCCTGTGCCCTCTTGCTGCCTCTCATGTTCAGTTCTGCTGCTGTTGTTTCAGGGAAGTGCCCTCCAGCAGGACCAGGCTCTCTGGGGTTGTTTCTGCTCTTTATTTGTCACATCAGCTGTGGTGCTGACTCTTATCTCCTTAGATGCCACTGCATTTCTTTTTCTGTGTTTTGGGCACCGACAGCTCTTTGAGATGCATTAATTGTGCAAGGAGGGAAAAGACTTTGTGATACAATCTCTGCAATCAGAGGGCAAACCTGCCCCTTCCATTGAGGCCCTGTAGCAGCCCTATGTAGCCTCCTGGCATTTGCCCTTTAATGAAATGTCTCCTTTTGTTTTCAGTGAATCTGACAGCAATCAGGCAGCACATATGTGAGGTCATGTTCCTGCTATGAGGAAAGATTGCTGTTAGCTACTGGGATACACTTCTGAACAGACAATTTTCTTCAGTTTCTTAACTGCCTTTTTACAATGGAAGTGGAAACTGTTACTAATAAACCTGATAGTTTATGGGTTTGGGGGAGATTTTTTCTTTTTGTTCAGAAAACCCGATTAAGCTCATCACTGGCTGAATATAAATGCTAATACATAGGGGGAACCAGCCAGGAAAATTGCACTTGACTAATTTCACTTAATGAGAATGTCTGATTCTGCTCAGTCACTTCCTTGCTGAGTTCAGATTCAGCTGCTAAAGCAGACCCAGGAGCTTTTTGTTAAATATTTTTAAAAGATGATCAGCTTATAATGATGTTTTCAAAGTGTGTCACTTCTGCTGTTTGCTGTGATTGCTGTCACGTAGCAGCTGGAATAAATTTTTTTCTTTATTTAATAATGTGCCAGGCAATATTTCTGGCAAAGGATAAATGTAAAAAGAGAACATTTGAAAACTCTAATTTGACTATAGCTGTTTTTAAATTGTGGATGCAAGGCAAGGCCTATCTTTCAGTACCCTGATACCAGTGTATGTAAAAGCAGAGAAGGTGTAATATCTAATTAAAGACAACTTGCAGTAGTCTGAAAAGTATATGAATCTTAAATATGCAAAAATAAGTTAAGTGAGTCTCTAAGAGGTGTTGGTACACTTAAAGACAAAAAAAAAAAGTGAAATACCACAGCTTGCCACAAGCCTTTCTGCCAGTTTAATGGGGTTACCATTGCAAATCTGAAGGTACTTTTTTTTCCTCTGATCTGCCTGTAAGGGAGGCCTCCACAAGAAACAGAAGATTTTCTGTGCCACTCTTCATGTCACAAGGCTGTGAAGAAAAGTTCCACTAGAGCATGTTTTCTGGAAAATGGTGTTTAACAACCTTTTCTATAGAAAACCTTTGGTTTCTGAACTGTGTGTGATTTCTGCTCACTTCAGTCTTTTGGTCTTTTTACCTGGGGAGGACTTCAGTGAAGTGCTCCGAGTTTTACACACTAGGACTTATAAACTTAAAT